TTTCTCCTGGTTATGGCTTTGATTTTCCAGCTTATTTGCATGCTTCGTAATTTTTAATTAAATGCTGGAAAATGTCGAGTTTGGGGTTTTGTTGTGTTTTCTCAGTGTTGACTTTATTCAGGCATGCAGCTAATTTACATGGAGCCCACTTTGTTCTGAGACTTGTTTCTAGCTTGTTAGGGTAGGTCCAAGGACCCACTACTAATTTATGACCTTCATGAGGCCTCCTAAGATAACTTATATGTTGCAACACGTCTCCACTCTGATTAGTGGGATTGTGAACTACCTCCAGCCCTCTGTGAGCTGCGGGGACTGTTTTGTTACCAATAAGCAGCCCTGTCTAGTTTCACCTGCACACATGTCAAGAGTAGAGGGCACCTCATTGTTGTTCTGGAGCTTTCTTTTGGTACAGTTCCCTCTTCTCTGGTACTCTACGCACAGATTCGTCCCCAGTGGCCCTCCCTACTTCAATCTCTGTCTCTTCAGCTCACTAAGACCACTGGGCTCTGTTTTGATTCCCCTTGCTTGAACTGTAGCCTGGAAACTGCCTCCAGACCATGAGTTGATACAATCCTAGGGCCCACCTCATTTATTTCTTTTTTCTCAGGGATCATAGTCCTGTCCTATCTCTTGTCCAGCATCGATAACAGTTCTTTCTTATATCGTAACAGCTAATCCTCATGAGTGGAAGTGAAAGCCCTCAGTCTGCTACATAGTTTGGTAGCTTTTTTTTATAGAAGGGAAGCATACCCTCAGACAAGGTCTCAGAGAATTATGATTCCTTGGGGGAACTGCTATGATCCATTGTGTCTCTTCAGCTTTACCAGTTCAGAAACACTGTTGGAATACACAGAGTTAAATTGACTTGAGGATACAGATTCCTTGTCTAAACTTTACAGATACCAGCGCATAATCCAGAATGTGAAAATACAAGTAAGTGGTAGCGAACACCACATAATAACAATCTAGAGCACCTTCTTCCTGTGTGAGGATGCTTGGGAAACCAAATTAATCATCAATGTTGTTTGAGCATGAAAATCAGTGCAGCTAGCAAATTCCCTAACATATCAAAGAATGCAATTAATAATTGTTAAGAGAATGGAAGAGAGGAGCAAGAACTATTTTTTTCAGTTTGTTTAGTCATCCTTATCCCATTACATACAACACCCATAAAGACTGGTTCATGTCAGGACACCCTTCTAATGTCCTGCATTAGCTCCATCTCTGCCTAATTTGTGTTCTTAGATCCTTGTTTTTCTTAAGTTACAGATTGGCTATCCCCTATTGGGACACACTGACTCTCTCCAGAAAATATTTCAATACCAGTAATTAACGTTCAACTTCTTAATATGTGGTCAATCACATTCCTGTCCTTCCAGTATCCTGAAATTACCCTCTTGTTGGCATTTTAGGGTGTTTCACATACTTTCTAGTCACTCATTTACATTCACTTGCATTATTACTGCCAATGGCCTACCTCAGATGTTGTAGTTAACAACCTGTAAAATTATTCTGTTTGGTCCTTACCAATTTTTAGAAATATACAAATAAACTGTTATCATTTTGAAATTGGGATAGTTCACATGAAGATACATTTTATAGTTTTTCTTGAAAAAATGTATAGATCTGGCCATAGTAGTCAATGGGAACTAAGGAACACCTACCACTTTACATGGTCCATGCACTTCCCAATTTGTTCCAGTCCCCACCACTCCCTATTGTGTGGCTTTCTCTTCTAGGTTTTGTACTAATCTGCCCCTTTTAGCATTGAGTCTGTGCCTGCTGGCTAAGCTGATTCATTTTGTGAAGATTTTACAAGTTAAGCTCTCAAGAGGAATGAGGTCATTCCTCTAAGTTCTTGGAGGGTCCATCTTTGTAACTCTTCAATTCCTCTCCCAAATGAACATTCGCAGAAAGTTATAAGGGAATAAAAAAAATGAAACCTGTTAGTGTTATTAATTTCACTTCTTCAAAAAAGAAATTAGTATTGGGAGAACAATGGCTAAATGTGTTTACGAAGTAAGTCATTCTACTTTCCTAGAAAGAAATAGGACTGTCTTGACCAGGTGTCTGAAAATGCTTTGAGTCATCACATTCTAGGTCACCATTCTGAATTAAAAACTATCTTTCATGTGTACTGCCCATTTTATTGCTGGCCATAGCTCAATTCTTGTTTTTATACAAACAAATAGAACATAATCTTTTGGAAAAAAATTAGAGTTTCGAATCTTTAAGCTCCTTTTTCTTCCAAATCATTGAAAAAAAATGCCTTTAAAATGATTATCTAGCATGAGACATCATTCTCCTCTGGACTATCAGTGTAGACATTTTCGAAAGGAAGAATCGAATTAGGCCTTTCAATCCCTATCGTATTATCAGAAGGCAAAAATTGGCAGTCTTCTATCTCTAGCAGTTTTGGGAATAAGTGTAGGCTTTTCCAGGCCTCCCAGAAGAAGATGATAGATCTGAGGATAGAGATTAAATGCCAGGCTCTCACGACGAACCCATAAACCTGGGGCATACTACTCTTATATCTATAACTAGTTTCAGCAAAGTGCTGCTATAGTTGGAAGAGTAGGATTTCTTTTGTCTTTATTTCTGGCTCTTCTCATTTCATTAGAAATAAACGTTTCCAGATTAAAGTATGGCCAGGTAAACTAAGACTCAGGCAGGTAACACCCCTGCCTCCTACCCTAAATGCCAGTGTGCTCTTAGTCATTGCGGTAGCCCAAAAAAACCCTGTTGTCAGTTGGATTGCGTCCTCCCAAAAATATATGTTGAAATTCTAACCCCTAGCTCCTGTTAATATGACCTTATTCAGAAATAGGGTCTTTGAAGATGTAATCAACTGAAGATGAGGCCATACTGGATTACCATTCTGACTGGTGTCCTTTCAAGACGAGAAAACAGAGACACAGACACTGACAAGGAAGAATGCCACATGATGACAGAGGCAGATATTGGAGCAGGGGCCCTACAGGCCAGGGAATGGCAAGGATTTCTGGCAACCACCAGAATCTAGGAGAAAGGCATGGAACAGACTCTCCCTCAGAGCCTCCAGTGAGGAACCAGCCTCACCAACACCTTGATTTCAGACTTCTAACCTTCAGGACATGTGTCGCAACTTGTTGCTGTGAGAATTAAGCACGTCCTGTGTGACTCCACTGGGAAGGGTCTCTTGGAAGCTTGCACCTGGTTTCCTTTTTTCTTTACTGATTTTGTTTGATCTCCTTTTACTGTCATAAATCTCAGTCAGCCATTGAGTACCACTGTATGGTGAGAACTGTGAGTCTTCCTAGTGAATCATCAAACCTGGAGGTGGTCTTGGAGACCTCTAACACAACAAGACTCACAGGAAGGACTCCTGTGGAAATGGCTGCTTAACGTTAGCACTTTTATTAACCTTTGAAAACATCTATTTATTTTAATTTCCCTCTTCTAGAATTAAACACTTGATTATTTTAGGTGTGGCTTTCATAATTATAACTACTTGAATTTTTCATGTTTTAGAAAGGCAACTGTGGTATATACAATTTACTACGTAATAATACCCCAGAATGTCTGGGAAGGACCCCATGTTCAAATACATTAATATGGCTGTTTTCAATGTATGGGTATTCTCGGATAAATGGAGACTATAAGTAGCTTTATGTCAGCCTAGCTCAGAGCGTGCCACAAGATGGTTTGTACCAAACTTAGAGGAAAAAAAACTTAGAATTTTAGAGCATTTGAATTTTGACATTGCAGATGGGGGTCATAGACCTGTATTGCCATCCCTCTTTTGCTTGGCAGGAAATGGAGAAATAGAAATGTTAATTGATTTGCCAGTGGTAGTATAGCTTGTACCTGAACTAGATTTCAAACCTAGTAATGAATGTCTAAATTACATGCCAGAGAGCTCTTGACTATTACCCAATACTGTCTTTTTAGTTACTTATTTAAAAAATATGTGTTGTATGTCTGACTACTGCTAATGAGAAGGTCATGTGAGGGTGAGTGAGGCAGACTAGGAAAGAAGAAAGTAATTATCTCTCTTTGGAATGGTAATTTGGATATTTGCCTTTCCTCATGAAAGTGATTTCAAATATATGATATATTTTTGCCTATGTAAGTCTAAGTACACAGCAAGGCTCAACAGAGAGCCACCAATTCCATCTCCTGTCATGTCTCATGATATCTTTAGTTACAGTCATCCTCAAAGTTTGAGTGTGTGTATGCTTGTGCATCCCCTCATTTTGCTTGTGACTTCCAAGCAGCAAAAGTATATCCTGATTATTTTCTTTATCTCTGCCATTGTACAGTGCTCAGTAATTCATTTGAGCAGATTTTTAAAATAGAATTGAGTTGAAAGTTACTTTGGCTAGATGGAGTAACCTCCAGGTTTCCCTGAGTGGGGAGGCCAGCACTTGTTGGAAAAGGTTCTTATCAGAATTGACACACATTTGCCTTCAGTGTGACAATAAAGAGGTGGTTTGGAGAAAAGGAAAAGCAATAGGACTTCTTCCTCCAATAAAATAGCTTCCTTCAATGAAATAGTAAAATACATTTTATATAGATATTGCTCTGAGGAGGATTTGGGGGACAAGTAATCACTGCCAGTCAAATACATGTGAACTGCTAAGTTTTACTTTTACCTCTCGGCCTCTACCTGCCCCTCACTTTTAAGAATAAATACTATATCAGAAAGATTTTGGTAACCTAATTTTCTGTATCCTTACATCCTGGGAGCCTTTGTCATCTTAATAAGTTGGTTCTGCCTCAACTTGCAAATCAGCTTAATTTAATTCTAAATGAAGTCTTGAATTTTTCATTCTGCTTGATACAAGCTTAGTAATTCTCAGAAAACAGTCCTAGTTACATTAAGTTTAGGTAGAAATTCTGGTATTCAAGGGTGCTTACACAAGCAACCGTCATTCTTTGCAATGGCTTCATTATTTAGTGACACGGTTAACAGCATTTTTTTATTTGAAAATGTCTTTGTCATCCTCTGCTTGTTTCAGCGACAGTTTTCCTGGAGTTTTGGAAGAGACGACGAGCAGTAATTGCTTATGACTGGGATTTGATAGACTGGGAAGAGGAGGAGGTTTGTATCATTTACCTCAGAATTTTAAAAAAGCAAATCACCAGGAAACACGCAGTCACCTTGAGTTATCACTCTCTGCTCTGTGACACAAGTCAGGTTTACTCATAAAGCATTTCTAATATCTGTCTTGGGAAGAACTCCAAGCAGTATAAAAGCTAGCAGATTTTGATTGGTTAGTGGAATAAAAGTCTATGGCTAAGTAAAGCATTTCACTTTTAGGTAGAGATATCCAAGGAATTGGTGATAAGATTTGTTTAGTTTTCTTGAATATTATCCATTTCTTTACTTGAGCAGCAGGAGGGTAGCAGTTTTACAACCCTAGGCACACGGAAGCAAACTTCGTATGGGAACTACTCCCAGGAAATAATTCTGTGAGCCTCCGGACCCTGGACAGTGCCTAGATGGGCACAGGCTGAGAAGTGGACCATGTTGAGGATAAACCACTCCTCAGTCAGCCTCCTTGGTGGATGCTGCTAAATGCGGGGCCGGGTCTAGATAAAACTGTCTGGGAGAGGTAAACTCAGCTCCTCAGACCTCCCATTCTCATCACGTTTCCCAGCCCCATCATTCTCTCTCACCCCCTTCTACGCCAATTCACTGTGCCCTCTTCTATCCTGTGTCTGGTCTTACCGTCTCTTCTTGTCCCATTCCTGTCAAAAGTCTCCCAAGTACCCATGCTGAGTTTAGTCACCAGGTAGGGACACTACTTCCTTTGTTGGTTGATCCAGACTTGACCTCCTCTTTCCTTTGTCTCGTCCGTTATCTCTTGCCTCTAGTGAGTCTCATTTCCTCAGAGCCTTGGCGTGCCAGTAAATCAGATAAACTAGTCACATATGATGTAATAATGGGTATTAATGGGTGTATTCCTTCCAAGAGACATGTATATATACTTTATATATTGAAAGGAATCTTCTAGAAACAGAAATGATCATTTTAACCCTGTGGTAGGAACGGTAGGGGAGTTCATTTTGAAAGGTACCTTGTTTTTCTTCAAATTACATCTTGTGAATGGCTGCCTTTTCTCCTCATGCCCACGAACACATTTGGGTAGCTATAGATCTAGAAGCAACGCTGGGATTTTCAGCAATCCTTGTTCTTTTTGTAAGACCTCTCTCATGCTTTTGTAAGCATTCTCCCAGAAACGATTTCGAAGAAACTACCCAGTTGACTCTGGAGTTTCCTGGCAGCAGCTGGTCTGCATTCAGGACTTCTTCCTTGGTGAACCTCTTCTGTTGGTTCTTATTATAGGTGTTCATGGGAGCGACATTGAAATGGGATAGAAAATGTTCTTTCCTGGGAACTTGAGTCACCACTATGTCATCTTAGACAAATAACTTCACTTTTGGACTTTTTTCATTTATAAAAAACAGAGATGTTTCTAAATTTTTCTCTTTCAGCTATAAAGTGTGGCATTAAGTAATCTTGACACAACCAGTCTAAAAGTCACCAGTGGCACTGTGGTGGGCCCAAGACATGGGGACGCTTTTTAAAATGTCCCTCGTGAATCTAGAGTCTTCTGTCTTCCTAGCCCTGATAAAAAGCTTTAGGAATTCAATATATGAATTTGTGCGGAAGACACAACGCAGCTCATAACACGGGGAAGACAGGCCCCGTTCCGTGATTGGCCTCTGTTCCTGGATGATGAACTCAGTGACTCTTGGTGACACAGCCTGATAAATTAAAAGTTTCCCACAGAAACAGAAGAGTCTAGGTCTGTTCTGTTTCAATCCTCAAGTATAACTGCCTAAAATAAATGAAAAGAGGCGGAAGCTGTTTATAATTATAGCTCCCCCTCACCTTCCCCATTACCTGCTACTGAGTGAAGGTCCAGCATTGGGCTTATCCTTAAGCAGGAGCCAGGGTGCCCTTCCTCCTACACAGGCTGTGCCCATTTATCCAACCATGCCCATTCTTTGCCTGTCTTCTGTCAGCTGCTGCTTCTCTTTCTGTCAGTGCCTCCATCCTGGTCTTGAGTGTTTCTGCCTGGACTAACTCAATCTCCATTTCACCAGAGTTTCTTCTCATTTTCTCTCTCCCAAGACACTCAAATGGAACATGTACTTAATTAGCTGGACCACTTCAATATACCCTTTCGCTGATTACCTTTTCCTGATCCCATAATTACTTCTTTGTTGGAAGCTTTTCATATTAGATGGGGTTCAATTAATTGAAATAAAATCTCAGCTTGATTTAGAATCAGAGGAGCTTTGATTTTAGCTGCATTTGAAAGGTATTTGTTTTCAATACCAATTAAGGATACATTTAAAATCTACGGTTAAAGGAGAATAACTTCTATAGGAGTTAATTTTTTAATAAAATAGATCCACCATGTTTTTAGCTGCCTGAATCGAAAAATACAAAAAAAAAGAAAATTGTAGAATACTAAGAATTACATTACCATTATAACTGACAAAATGAACTCTGAACATTTTGCTGTTCATAAGCTTTCTTGGTCCTGGTGTTCATATCATTTCCTGGTAATAAAAGTCAAAGCTTATTAGTTGGTTCAAACCACTAGAGACAGGGCAGGTGGTTCCTCTTCTCATTCTCAGTTTCTTCAAGCATAATTTAATGAGATGACAGACATTTAACTATTAGTCTAAATCACATTGCCTTGATAATAGTAAGTCTAAATCATCACTCTTGAGATTTTCTTCAAGTGGCCAATTTCCAGACATTTATACTTGGGTCTCAGCCTACCTCATTGATTGATTAGTGTGGCAGCTGTTGACTCAGTTTTCCCAGGAGGTAATGAGTTTTTTTGTTATTGTGTGTGCACCTCTTTAGAGCATAAAAATGTGTCTGCTCATTTTTTAGGAAGAAATACGGCCCCAGTTTGAAGCCAAGTATTCCAAGAAAGAGCGGATGAATCCCATTTCGGGAAAGCCAGAACCTTACCAAGCATTTGCAGATAAATGCAGCCGACTGATCGTTTCTGCCTCTGGAATATTTTTTATGGTTTGAAACTGTTTTACAAAACTCTTTTGTTTCATAAAGTACAAACTTGTATCATGATAACAATAATCATATCAGACATTTATTTACGTAGTTCCATACGACATTTTTGCATGTTCTTTTATTCCTCACAACTCCATTAGGTGGTCAGGGATGGTGGTGTTGTCCCCGTGTTACAGATGGATCAGTGGAGACTCCAAAAGATTAAGGGGCTTTACTAGGTTAGCCACTAAATAGCCAATAAATAGCCAAGATCAGATCCTCTATTTTAATCTGATGTTCTTTCCACTTGCTTCTCTATGCCATGCGGAAAGGAACTAAAAATATGAGATAGGGTCTACAGCAGTTTTTTTCAAACTTTTTTTTTTTTTACCAAGCCCATGTATGAAATACATTCTCTGTCATGACTCAGTATATTCTATGCAAATAGGTCTATAAAACCAAAATCGTGAAATAGTGCTCACCTTTACGATATGCAATGAACCCTGATTTTTTTATTATAGTCTTTTTTTAATGCCAGCTATAACTCCCTAAAATTGATTTCCATCTTCACTAATAGTTATATCAATTTGAAAAATACTACCTTGAAGCTGGGTGGTTAGCTTTTCCTAAAAAGAAGTCATTTTTGCGATCAACTTTGACCTTGTTAACTACTAAACAAAACACATGCAAAGTTTTCAAAAATGTCATTTTAGAACAATAATAGATGATTAGGAGTCTCTTTTCCTTTTTTCAAATGGCAAGTGTGTAAAGATATATCCTAGATCATTAAAATGAGAAAGATAAGACTACAGCAGATACAGATGATCTACTCTTCTTTAGCTAGAAAGAGGGAAGATGAAAGGGTAAGCAGCATGCCCGAGAGTCCCTCAGCTCAGATCAAGATTCATATCTATGCCCTTCTATAGACACTGCTTTGTAAGCAATTGTGTCATGCTTTGCCTTCGGTAAGTACATTCGTGTTTGTTGTCTTGATTTTCGTTTCTCACAACAAAACCTGTAGATATAGATTAAGCTTTCTTTATTCTACCTAGAGCATAGGAGGCTAAAGCCCTGGAGAGGACAAGCTACTTCCGAAGGTCACACTGTTAGGTAGTCGCTGAGCCGGGACTCACACCTGACTTCCTTCTGAGTCCAGAGACATGTCCATCACACCATATTGCCACCCTTGTCTGAAATTCAATGTAGATTTCACCTATGCCCTATCAACAGGACTAGGATTAAAATGTAGGCTTTATTTCATTGTTGTTTGTTGTTGTTATTTTGGCCAGTTTCAGATAGGGTTCATGCTCAAGCTTTTAGAGCATGTCACTCATAACCAAAAATGGAGTTTTTGTAAAACAGAATAATATTTCTATGAAGAAAGAAATCTGTAAGTCAGCAGAGGCCATCCAGAGGCCTAGCTTTAAGATCCAGTGTTTGATAACTAAGTAGGCTCAGCTCTCTACTCCGATATATTGAGTCACCTAATGAAAGTCACACAACTTTCTGGAGTCAGATTTCCA